CCGGTCAATGGCGGGACACTGGGCAGGGGACGCCCCGCATGGGATTCCAGTCAATGGCGGGGCACTGGGCAGGGGACGCCCCGCATGGGATTCCAGTCAATGGCGGGGCACAGGCCAGAGGACACCCTGCATGGGATGAGATTGGATGGGATGGTCATCCATGGCAGGGCACTGAGCAGGGGACGCCCTGCATGGGATGGGATGGATCTATAAATCAATGCATTTCATGATAGCAGAATATTACTATATTTGCTTATCTAGGTATTTGTATTTTGACAGTCCATTTCTACCATGACATGTCTTTACATTCCTAAGAAGTGTTGAAGATTTTGTTACACTTTGCTATGATTTTGTTCATTTTCAATTTATTAAACCATTAGATCAAATACTTTTGTAATTTTACAGCTTCACGTGGCTTGCGATATCTTTTCTACACAACAACTTATTTTTCTGAGAATCTGCATACTAATGACTGAGGTGAGACGGTGAATAAGACTTGTCAAGTAACAGGACGCCGATGAGACGATGCAAGACTTTAGACAAATACTGTTTGAGATAAATGAGACAGATAATCCAGAATTATACATTAATACTGCGTGTGTATGTTTTCATCATAGCTGCGCGCCGTCACTGACCCGTTTCAGGTTCATATTAGGAATTAGGAGTCCAGTCAATCACTGAAACAATGCATTAAATATCTACACTTAGTGGATTACCGACTGGGACTCCTCATTTCACCTAAATTCGCCACATTAATATCTTTATGACAACTGAATTCAAAAAAGAGTGCACAGTAAGACTGGTCAGCCTTCTCGAGGTACTATTAAGATGTAATTAAGATAAGAGCCCATTTAGTGAAAAGCACAAGCCTGCGCTGGGGGCTAAAACACATTTAATTCCAAGTTTGCACAGAGACATCCCCATCGGAAACTCACTTCACTTAGGCGTTTATTATTAAGATCGCGGTAATGATACAGCTATAGCAATCAAGGGAAAAAAACAGCCACAGTAATAAACCGGATTAAATGCAAATAGCTTATTTTTTCTTTGCTTGTTTTATTAAGTTCATACAATCTATATTTTGTGTTGTATTTTTCCACCCGTCGATATATAACCGGTATGTTGATGGGCAGTTCTGGTACGCGGTTATACTTAATGATACCTGTGTAATGTAGGCTATGACACGCATACGCGCATGCACATTTGCATACCGGCATCTGATTAATCATCTTTCTTATTTGGTAAGTTGAAACCATCAAAGGCGACAGAAAAAGCAGCAGTGCAGTTGTCAAAATGCCCGCCTCACGCCTGGTTTCGTCGCCGTTAAAGGAGAACGACAGCCGGTCGGCATCTCCGCCTCCCCGTGCTGCACCCCTCCCCTTCTCTACTGTATCCACACATTCGCACCAAAACTCCATCTATGGATCGGCACTCGTATCACCGTCAACAAAAACAGGAATTAAGGACGTAAAAGAAAGGAAAGGGGCAAAGTAATAAGACAAGCAATGCTATCTTCTGACAATACCTCAATCCGACTGAGAGCGAAGCAGGATGAATTTAATCTTTTCAAGATTCTTGGCATACTTTTATTTCGGGTTGCAAGTCCTTCTCCATTCCTTCATCGGTCCCTGTTACCCCCATCCCCAGCCCTGCCACATACTGGCGCAGATAGGACACACAGTTCGCCTGGGTGCCCTGCTGCCTACCCGCCAGCCGTCCCGGGTACAAGCCGCTTTGAACCGCGCCCTTGCCAGTCTCGCCCAAACTGGGAACAACTTCCTTCCTTACAACCTGAGCTTGGAAATGGTACCGAGAAAACCCCCGACCGGGGACCCCGAGTCCCTTTTCAGGTGCGTGTGTCAGGCGATCGTTGTTCAGGGGGTCTCCGCAGTGCTCGCCTTCCCCCAGAGCCAAGAAGAGCTCGTACAAGTGGAATTTATGGCTACTTTTTTGGAAATCCCTTTCATCAGCATCATTGAGCAAGGCGAACCACTGAAAACACAGGTAAGAGATAAAAATCCTGGGTTTGAGGTCCCCGCGGTTTGCGTTTTCACGGTGTGTTTGAAATGTTAATGAATTATGAAGTTACAGGTGATGAACTTCTCTAATTGAGCGCGTTTTCTTAAAACTGCTCCTCTTGGCGGAAAACAACATCAGAAAAACATTACGGGTCTTGTGCTATAAATCATTTTCAAATTCTTGTTTAAAACAAACTATCGAAATTCACGACGTTCATTTTGTTAGCAAGATTTTCTAATTTGTTTTATTGACCTATATTCCTATCGAAGTACAATATCTGCACTGGTAAGAAGGAAGCTGTTCTTCCGCTTTTCTGGATCAGCCAGACAGTTATTTTCCTGTTCGCACAATCCTGCTTAAAACATTTTGATGCCCCCATCCCCCCGACTAAATTTATTAGGAGACGTGCGTGACTGTAGCCTAAAATAACGCAGATGGAAATTAGTGTGGTTAGACATCGCATTTGAGCCATTTATCCAGAAATACGTGACTCTGTAAATAGAGCTGTTGTTTTAAGATTTAATGAGCATTTACCAGTATGGCTTTGCAATCCGCACATGCTGCCTTAGTGTTTCCTTGTTAAATACATTTTGTTTAAGATGCCATTATGATTGAGGTGAGATTTGAGCTTTCTTTGAGGTTTATATAAAACGATTTAGAAACCCATCAGCCCAGAAAGCAATTTTCTTAATGAAATTAGTCGAATCCCCATTGCAGGGAATCCCCACGCAACGATTATTATATTAAAGATCAGTAGTTTGTTTTTTTCCTCGCTTCATTTCTATTGAAATTTTACCAAACTTGGTGAAACAGTACAATTGGATGTCTTTTAATAATGGCTAAAGGACTCATACAGTAAAACTGGATATAACCCAGTAAGTTCAGTTAAGAAAAGGTCTTTTACCTAAATGGTGTAACTCACTATTTATCATAAATGTGTTTATCTTGTCATATGAGGACTTTATCATTCCCAACAGCTGATTTAAACGAAACAAACGTATAGACGCGGTGGACCACTGAAATATCGTTGGTTCTGCTGGACTTAATGATTCAAACTTAATGTACTAATTTTGCGGCGTTGTTTGCGGCATTGTTTGACACTATGATGCTTTAAAATGGTAGATCAAATAAAGTTGTGGTACTTTTGTCACTTATGAGGGAAACAAGCGTGTGACGAGCCTCTGAAGATGTTTATTGCGGAGGAACCCCTGTGCGTTGCTGCTGGATCTGTACCTCTGGCTGCCAAACGCGGCGTAGTAGGTGCATTTAATCAATGTACGTTTACTGTAAAAGCTTCACTTTCTATCGTGAGTTAATACTCGTGTTTTTTCATTTAGTTGCCATTCATTTCATTTTTTTTATTGTTAACCATACCGGAGCACTCATAAATATCAGGTTTTAAAATGTATGTTCCGAGTAAAGGTTGCAATTGCTGTTTGTAGGGTTAAAAGGTAATTTCGGTGGTGTGGTGAAGATGGCTGCCTTTCAGTGGAACGTCAGTAGCCTACCTATTTTTCTTATCAGCGGTCTGACGGTGATATCTAAACTTAAGTGAGAAATCACGCACTTGCTGTGCTCTGGAAGTTACCATCAGTTCTAAAGTCTTTATGGTTAGATGTACATGAAATACAGTTTTATTATTTTATTTTTATGGCACATTAAGTATATGCAACCTGTGCAATATTTTGCGTGGTTAATAGCCGCTATATTAGTATTACATCGTGCTGATTGTTTAATGAGCTGTTTGCCAAACTTTCAAGGTTAAAAGATGATAAATAACAGTCAAGATATGTTTATAGCCTAGTTGTAAAACAACAAGAATTACATCCGCAAACGAATCAGCGTCATACTAAAGTTTACATTGGTCTACTGTACATTTTTGTGCAGTAGACAGTACATCATTGTTAGATCAGTATATCAGTATTTTGACATGTCGTTTGTGTTCTTGTTACTTTTTGAAATGACTGTGTAAAATGTGAATATCTGAAATGGTAATTACACATGTAAATTTTGACATCAGCATTATTCTGTTTTATATCTCATATCAGAATTATAATTTTGTACAATACTGATCTGAAATTAACTACAAATGTCAGGCATGGCATTTACAGCATATGGCATGTGTGGATAAAGGTATCATGTTTAAATGGTTCTGTTTTAACTTAAGCTCATGAGTATGCACATGTAATATATCCACCAAGCATTTTGTACCGTTTGAATAAAAGGATGCTGCCTTCTGAATATTGGCACACCATTATTTTGCTTACCTAAACATCCAAAGGAGGAAAAGCGGCTGTTTCTCTGTTCTGTGTTCTTTGACTAATTAGCTTAAAATTCGTATGGTATGAGGTTCTCTAAATGGAAGTCTTTGTTGGGATTTACCTTCGTTTAGGAAAAACAGTGACTACAATCTAATAGGAACCAAAAACACTTGAAGTGGTGATGTTGGTGATTTGGGTCTAATGATACCCGTGCAAGCCCTATGAGAGCAGCGTTGTTTGGGAGCCCTGTAGTGCGTACACGCTCCAGCCAAAATCTGATATTCTGCTAAAGCTGCCAGCCCAACCTGCTGCAGTCGTGCATGTCCACGGGTCTGAATGCGTGGGAATGTTTCAGACGGTTTTTCTTGTGGCTGCCGGCGCTCAGTCATGAGTGGTTGCTGTGTGTCTCCTCCTGGATACAGAGCCTCCATGGCTGTCAGGATCTCCGCAGGAAGGAGGAAGCTGCCGATGATGGCAGGGGAATACTGTGAATTAACCCTGCATTGCAAGCACAGAATCCGCATCTAACTGTAGATTAATGTTTCTTTATAGAACTGTATGTGTGGATATGCTTTGGCCTCTGGCATGCTTTATTATCTCTCATATTTTAGTTTTAGTCTGTTTAACCATCCCTGTGTGTGTGTGTGTGTGTGTGTGTGTGTGTGGGTGGGGGGGGGTGACTTGGCAGAGTTTACCAATTGAAAATGGCTTACATCTTGAGGTACTTTAACAAATTAAAAGAAGAAAAAATCACACACTGTAAATCTTCTGGCCGACTAGGTAAAGTGCATACATCTGTCTTGTTTAATGCCAGCTCATTAAAATCACTTTGGAAGGTTTCATAGCTGACGAAGGAATTATCACTTTATGCTAGACGGAAACCTATAGCATAGAACATATATAAAATATAAGCAACGCTCTTTGGAAATGCCATTTGCACAGGAGCAGAGGTGTTCCCTCAAACAAATACTCATTCATTATTTGCCACATATGTTAATGTATGTGTACTGTACGTTGATTTTTGAGGGTTGGTGTTTCATGTGGCAATGATGTGCAAGTTATCAGATGTACTGCTGGTTTATTCACAATATACTGTATATATAAATAACAAAGCTTGTCACTGAAGAACCCCCTCCCCCACCAATTAGCCTAAGAGCTTCAGTTGGTAAGCCTCTAATTTACTAAGAATAGTCCATAAGCAAGACAGTGAATGCATTTTTCTATGTATGCCCTGTATAGGTATCATTTAAATAAGAATGAGGGACCAGGAGAAGGACCACATAGGATCCTCAGGCATTATTCTGCTCCCACTGTAAGTGTGTGTGTGCGTGTGGGTCAGCAGGTCCTCCAGGACCACATGCTGTCCTGTGATTAGTGTGTCCTCAGGACGTTCTTGTCCCTGTTACTTGTGGTGATTTCCATTGAGTTTTCTTTCGTCTCCACACTAGCCCACAGATGACATACTTCACTGATCCAAATAAGTGGGCTGCATTTATGACTCAAAGAACATCCAGTTGAAAAGGTAAATGTGTGTTTAATGCTTGGAGGTGAAGTGTGTGCCATCGATCCAGATCCGTTCATATCATCCCTCTGTGACAATAAACCTCAGAATACCAATCCAGTTCTCCTCCTTCTGAATTCTTTAATTTTCATGGGAACCCCAGAACAATGTAACAGATTGATGAGCCTAGGAAATTCTCATTCATCTGTCTTTTTTTAACAGAATATTTTCAGTTTTTCTTGCCAGCTGATGGCTGTCCTGTGGGGAAACATTGACAATATTAACTTCCCCTTGTTTCTGCTCTGCAAACGCCGTTTTGTTAAAAGGAGATTGACATAAGCATGAATCGAGCTGCTTGTTTGAAGGAAATTACATTTAATCCTGAGACCTCATTGAAAGGGTCTTATATTTAATGAAACTGCACCACTCTCAAGGGACACTGTTTTCTAGGCTAAAGACGCGCAGAAAAGATGAATGGATTTGTCCTTTGGTTCAAATGCATATCTTTACTCTTCCAGCAATTCAAAGGGAAATGTGTAACTTTTTTAAAAAAAGGTTAGTATCTGAAGATTGCAGTTCATTGGGATAATCCAAGCAGAAGGTCCCGGAAACGTTCATCTGGGAAGCTAAACCCATTGTTGAAGTGTCTCTTTCCTCCTTGTTCAAGGCTCACTGTCAGCAGAATCGGCTCAGCTCCTGTCATCGCCACAGCCATTCTGTGAGTTTGTGAAAGAGGTCGGACCACTTGACCTACTGGGTGGGGGCCTGAGATGGGGAAGGGGGCTGTTCTAAGGAAGGGTTAGGGTTCGGCTTAGGCGACCTGTACAAAGGGCACCAATCGGCCACCAGCGTGGCTGCAGTCGGCGCTTCCTTGGGGGATGAGTCACCCAAGGCATTTATCTCTGCTAATGCCTTTTAAATGTAATTAGCAGAAAAGAAGAGAGCCTTATTTTATTTGTCTAAAACAAACTCCGTGTCCCGGACCTTAAAAATCCAAATGCCATATTTGGAATTGAATGCTGATAGCCGCTCCATGTGTCTGATGCTTTCTGATGACACGGTTGAAATGGTATCGGGGCACACGGCCTCGTAAAGGCCAATAAAATTGTGTTTTTCTGGAGTCAGTTCAGTATTTTGATTGAAATAAGCAGAATGGGAAATCTCTGCCATACACATTGTCTGCTTACACATCAACTGTGTGTGCGCACACACACACACACTAC